GAGAAAAGAAGGAAGGAAGGGAAGAGGTAGGGAGAGAGAGGGAGAGGGAGGGAAGGGAAGGAAAGGGGAAGGGAGGGAGGGAGGGAGGAGAAGGAAGGGAGGAGAGGGGGAGGGAGGGGAGAGAAGAGGAGAGGGCAAGGAGGAGAGGAGGGGAGGGGATTGGACTTTGAAGACCATTCCGATTGTCATTCTGAGGACTATCTATATTTTATACTTCGATAAAACTAATAAAACTTTGAAACCACCAAGAAAACCGATCAGCCCCTATTTGTCTTCGAACAGATAAAAAGCCCCTCTGGGGAAAAAAAACGAAACCTGCTTTCAAACCGGCGGCTCTAGCTTATCCTTCAGCCCTGAACGGCCTTCCTCCTTCTCCCCTTCCTCCACCCTCCTTCCTTCGGGCTGGACCGAGAGACCATATCGCAAGCCACGGACTGTCACGGTCTTCAGTTTATTTGCCAACTCCGGCCACTTAAAAAAACAAACCCTTTTTTTGGGCAAAAAGCCTTCTGCGGGGATCCCAAGGCAGGACCAGCTCGGGGCCCAGGAAGAGTCGCAAAGTTTGTGCTCCTGAACATTTTGGGGGGGCGGGGGGGGGATCAGTCCTTCATCACCATGGCGTTCCTGCGTTGCATCATGTTCTTCACGGTGGGTTTCATGACCCCCGTCAGGGCCATCCATCGTTTGCCCTTCCGGAGGCCTTTGATGTCAGCCAAAGCCTGCATCTGTTGGGCTTCTGCCAAAACATCGGGGATTTGGGGACTGATCAGCGGATGAAGGTCCGTGTACTGGATGCAGTGGTAGATCCGCGGCTGAGGAAAGAAAACGTGGTTACGCCTGCGTGGTCAGACCTGCAGCAGCTTCAACCCCTAAAGCCAAAGGTGCCTTTTTTTATTCTTTTCCTTTTTTTAATATATTTTTTTTAAAAAAATCCAAAAAACATATTGTGATGATCCAGGGCATGATGCAAAAATAACAAAGTCACAATAGATACCCTGTTTCTCCAACAATACGGCCTCCCCCAATAGGAAGTCCCAGCATGTTTTATAGGCATGAAATGAAATTAAGCCCCTCCCCCAAATTAAGGCCTATATTAAAACATGCGAAATGGGGGGGGGTTTGCTGTTAGGAAGTACTTTTGTTGTACACTCGGATATGGTGCTGCCTGCGTTGACCCCGATACGAAGTGCCCCACCAACGCCGAGGTCAACATCCAAGCCATCGCCACCCACCCGCCCAAAGATGCAAGGGGAGGAGAAATTAGTCACCCCCCAAAAGTCGGCCTAGCCATTTTTTGGGTGCTCAAAAAAAAAAATAAGACCCAGCCTTATTATATGAGAAACACGGTAGAATAAATTCCCTTTAATGCCTCCAATTTGGCCCCAATGTCCAATTGTCCTTGGCCGGATATCAAACTCTTTAAAAAAAACAGTCTATGAAGGGCAGAAATGCAGTCCAAACCCAAAGTAAAGATAATTAGAAATAAATAAAAAAAAACCAACACAAACCACACTGAAGTAATTAACACGGCAAGCTGGGATGATAAATTGCAGACTTTCAAAGGATGACACAGCATCCACAGTTGGGAGGATTCCAATAAGCCTCGACAAATATAATGCACGCTTTGCTTCCAGCAAGGAGCTGTGTACAAACGCCCCACTTATATCCTGTTCTCCCAGCTGCAACTAATGAAAGGGATCAGGGCCCTTTTCTCTCCCATAAGCCACGTTGCTCCCTTCTCTGTTCCGCCCTGCATGCCCTAGGATGAGGAGGGGGTGGCCCTGGGTCTTCCTCTGAACTCCCTCTCTCTTGTTCTATCTCTCCCCTGCTCTGCCCAGCCGGACTTTGCCCTTCCCCAGTTTCCTCCACAGCCACTGGAGCCACACTCCCACTCCCTGTCATCCGCTCAACCTCCTTCTCAGAATCAGACCCTAACAAGGGCATGACGTATATTTCCATTCATTGCAGCATATTTGTAGTAGTGACATATTCTTAACTCTATAGAATTTTACTAAATATCATCACAATTATTTTACATTGGATTTATGTCATATTTTCATGTATTTATGTGGTCATTTACATATTCATACATAAGTATACATAGTTATGCCTATTCATGCCAAATTAGGTCATCACACCATAACCTTTCATTTCATCTCTCTCTATTTTGCGTCTCCCTTGCAGCCGATGATACCATAAATTCCAAATTTCGTAGTACTCTTTTTCAAGAGGCAACTGGACTTCTTTGAAGATTCTTCTCATCCGAGAAGCTTCTTCAGCTCTTGACTGGATGGTGGGGAATGGAAGGATTTATCCTCCTTGCAAGCAGATGGTCATTTGCATCCTTTTAAAGGGTCGTTGAGGCCACTTGGGAATTTATGGTATCATTGGCTGCAAGGTAGACACAAAAAAGAGATGAAATGAAAGGTTATGGTGTGATGACATAATTTGGCATGAACAGGCATAACTATGTATACTTATGTATGAATATGTAAATGACCACATAAATATATGAAAATGTGACATAAATCCAATGTAAAATAATTGTAATGATATTTAGTAAAATTCTATATAGTTAGGAATATGTCAAAGTCCTAAGGGTCACCTGAGTGGTGAAAATGGTTCCTGTAGTCTGCAATTTTTTCTTTTGGAAATCCATTCCTACACCCACACCATTTCAAGGGTGTTCATCCCAAATTGTATAGCTAAAAGTCTGTAGAGATTCTCAGTCATCCAGGCCAGGATTGTCCCAAAGACATTTTGTGTCTCATCCAAGGAGCTTCTTCAGCTCTGACTGGATGGTGAGGAATCGAAGGATTTATACTCCTTGCAGATAGCTGGTCATTTGCACCCTTTTAGAGGGTCGTTGAGGCCACCTGGAGGTTTATTTGTGTCCTCAGGGTCACCTGAGTGGTGCAAATGGGTGTGCAGCCTTCTTCAGATCTGCACACGTCTCACTGCATTGTGCTGTGTACCCCAAGCAGGGGTGGGATTCTACCAGTTTGCACCTATTCGCTAGAACCGGTTGTTAACATTCTAAGCAGTTCGGAGAACCGGTTGTTAGAAGAAATTACTGGGCTAATCCTGTAAGGAAGGCAGGAAGGAAACATTCTGGTGTTGCTTACAGAAACTGCCTCTCCGTTAACCCTTATTACACTCTTGGCAGGATTTGACTTCCTGTCCCAGGAACGTCTCTGGAGTTTTTTTCCCCTCCTTTGCTAGTACTTTGCTTGTGTGGAATGACCATTCAAAGTTACAATGGCACTGAAAAAAGTGACTTATGACCGTTTTTCACACTTACGACTGTTGCAGCATCTCCACAGTCATGAGAGGCCAGGCGAGGAGATGCGTGCCTCGATGTGAGTGATATTGAGTTGGCCACACCCAGCCAGTCACATGACCACCAAGCCACACCCACAGAACCGGTTGTTAAAAAAATTGAATCCTACCCCTTACCCCACGGATATAACACCTGGACACAAACTGAGCAATATCAGTTTGCAGTACAATGCAGTGAGACGTGTGCAGATCTGTACATTGGGGATGAACTTCCTTGGGATGCTGTGGGAGTAGGAATGGATTTCCAGAGGGAAAAATTGCAGACTACAGGAACCATTTGCACCACTCAGGTGATCCTGGGGACACATATAAGACCCCAAGTGGCCTCAATGGCTCTCTAAAAGGATGCAAATGACCAGCTGCCTACAAAGAGCGCAAATCCTTCCCTTCCCAACCATCCAGCCAGAGCTGAAGAAGCATCTTGGATGAGAAGTGAAACGTCTTTCTGAAAA